ATACCTAGTATAAATATATTTCTTAACAAAAAGTACGATGATCAATTTTCAATACACCGTATGAATGCATTAGTAAATTGTGTATTCTCGAGTCTTATATAAAGATGTCTGTGATCTGCTAAATGCGTATACTACTTATGACAAATGCGTCATTGTGGACGTCATTAGTTGTTTTTATTAGTGTCTGATTTGGTTCAAATCGAAATCGCGACATTTTCGCTTCCTATTTTTTTCATTTAAAATTCAACTGAAGATCTCAAAGCTCTTGAAGTTTTTTTATCAAATCTGTAAAATTAAGATTTTATTTAAAAAAAATATTTATTACTGCCTTGGTGGGCTGATAGATATATATGGCATTATATGCAACAATTAAAAAAAAACGGAAACTTGTTTTAAATTGTAATTTTATGCCACGCAGTGTTGTTATAGCAGAATAAAAAAAAGCCTTGAAAATCTTGGAAAAATCTTTTGCTTTCATTTGAGTAACTTCCCAGATGTGCACAAAATCTCAAACTTTTAAAAATGTACCTGAGAACATACCTAGCTTGTACATTATTATTATATAATAAAACTGTTCAGTAATAGAACAAAATTTAATCAAGTTAATTTGTACTTTAATTGTTTAATACACAACAAATTTACAAGTTAATAAGTACCTAGTTAAAAAAATACTTGCTATTTACTTGTTCTAATGGTACTAAGTGTTGTAAGTATAGTATATTAAGTTTTGTGTTATAAAAACCAAAGTATATCTACTAACAAGTAGTTCGACTCTCCGTTTACATCACACTAATGCAATCACTCACCAATATTTGTATACAAAAAATTCCCTTAGTTAAAAGAGTTAAGCAGTATACCTTCTTATTTTCATTTTTATGCACATAAGAATTTTTGGGAGATGGAAAGAGTATGCAATAGATGTCAATCTGTTTTTTTATAAAGTATTTTGAAAGGCGACACTATATTATTTGCTCGTATATAAAGTATAGGGAAAAATATAAAGAATTTTAAAAGCGACACAATAATTTCTGTAATTCATTCCAGTACAAGGTGGCAAAAAATGTGTATTATATTATAAAAGCGAAGAAGAAAAAAAGTGTTTAAAAAAAATTATTATAATTTATATAATATAATTTTGAAATATACTCGTAATAAAAATAAATTTTAAAAAGACGTATAATTTTAAAAAAAATTTTAAATAGTTGTGAAAAAAAATATTTTTCAGTTTTTTATAAACCATCCAAGAATTTCAGAGTGGAATTTCATGGATAATTTAAAGAATTTAGAAAACATATTTATTAAACTTGTTAATGATATTTGTACAGAAAAAATTTAGAATGTAAAATATATGAACACTTAGAAATAATTTCATCTATGAATGTAAAAAATAATAAAAATATAATAAAAAGTTTTAATAAAACTATAAAACAATTTGATATAAAACAAAAAATTTTTAGTGTTAGGTATTTGTAATTAATAATTATCAATAAATAAAATAAATAAATTATCTATAAATTTTTTACTTTTATTTCAATCTTAATAAATTTAGAACATATTTCCCATGAATTGTTAATAATTATATTTCATAAAATAATCAGTAGTTTCATTAGCTCTTCCTTACATGAATTAAAATATTTCCAACTCACACATAAAGGGAAAATAAGATAATGTTTGTTTGTTATGTAATTAATTTTGTATTTAAATATGAAATGTCCAATTATATTAATATTAATATTTACAAACAATTATATAAAATATGAAATATATTATCACTCATTTCATTATGAAAGACAAAAAAATGTATACATATCTCTATGAATTATGATCTCACATTCGAATCACGATATCACATTTTTGAGTTTTTTATTTGCAATTTTTTTCTTTAACTCTGTTTTATTTAAATGGTATGTTTTTCAGAGCCAGCTCCGCTTATAAATAATAAATTAGAACCAATTGCAACAACAATTCCGTTTTCTAATTTTAATGAGAAGAAAGAACAAAAGATGAGAGAATGTGAAAGTGATCAAGGCAAAACAACTTTTGATAATTTTTTTGTATGAAAATAGCTTTATGTTAGAAAAAGGTCGTGAGCTTTGGAATGTTGAATGTTATATTTCTAAATTAAATGAGTATGAGTACTCAATGAATGTACTCTGTTAGTGTTATTTTGCCACCTCTGTTAGGCCTAAGTGTAGTATATTCTTTATTTTTTGTATGAAAATGGCCTTATTTTTCAAAGATGTCGTTACTCTTGGAATGTGCACATTTAATGGTTGTGAGAGGCATTTTTCCAGTGCAAAATGTACATTTTTGTGCACTTTGGTTTGTGCCCCTTTTGGACGAACTGTATGCCACTCGTTAGAAAAAGGTCGTGAGCTTTGGAATGTTGAATGTTATATTTCTAAATTAAATGAGTACTCAATGAATGTACTCTGTTAGTGTTATTTTGCCACCTCTGTTAGGCCTAAGTGTAGTATATTCTTTATTTTTTGTATGAAAATGGCCTTATTTTTCAAAGATGTCGTTACTCTTGGAATGTGCACATTTAATGGTTGTGAGAGGCATTTTTCCAGTGCAAAATGTACATTTTTGTGCACTTTGGTTTGTGCCCCTTTTGGACGAACTGTATGCCACTCGTTAGAAAAAGGTCGTGAGCTTTGGAATGTTGAATGTTATATTTCTAAATTAAATGAGTACTCAATGAATGTACTCTGTTAGTGTTATTTTGCCACCTCTGTTAGGCCTAAGTGTAGTATATTCTTTATTTTTTGTATGAAAATGGCCTTATTTTTCAAAGATGTCGTTACTCTTGGAATGTGCACATTTAATGGTTGTGAGAGGTATTTTTCCAGTGCAAAATGTACATTTTTGTGCACTTTGGTTTGTGCCCCTTTTGGACGAACTGTATGCCACTCGGATATTCATATTATACAGATAAGAAGTAATTCTTTTGTTCGGAATAGCAGTTGCTATTTTATTATGTTCCATTTCTTCTTGAACTTCTATCTATCATAAATTCCGTTCGTGGATATATGGACATAAACTATGAATTAACTTACGAAGGCCCAGGGTTGTCATTTGATTTTTTGACGAGGAGCAGAAATATTTAAAAAAGGGAGTCATTTTTAAAAAAGTGGAGCCAATTCCCATATTTGAAAATCGAAAAAACAAAACAAAAACTTTTATTAAAAATTATAAACAAATTTGAATTAAAAAATATCACAATAAAAACTTAAAATAATATCTTTTACGTGAAATTTCATATACGCTTTTTTTTTTAAGTTTGGGCTCTAGTTATGATGATAAGGAAATATCTTAAAATATTAGAAAAAAACTCACAAAAATGATTATAACGTTTTTTTTATCATATGTTTATTGCCTTATTCATTTCCTGAAAATATGTGCTTTAAATAAAAAAAATATGTACTTCAAAACAACTGGTTCGTAACTGTTCGCATCAATATTTTTACATAATTTTTTTGAATTTCAAATTTTGCTTACCACCTTAACATAAAAAGGGTTTCTCAATTTAGTTTTAGTCAAATTAACAGAAGAAAATCCCTTTTCAGCTGCCGCACTAAAATGCGGTAAACTGAGCTAGCTTTGAATAAATTTTTCAAGTTTTCAGCAATATACTCGATCGAATTCAATTAAAATGTCAGAATTGTGAATTGGATTGCAATATTATCGTTTTTTGAGAAAATCTATACAAATACGAGTATATTACAACTGCTGACATCGATAAATTTTCCTAATATTGGATATTTCACACTTGAACTGAATAATTGATTAAGACTACAAAAAGATAGGTGGCGACTTTTGAATTAGCAGAAAAAGGTATATATACATAACTTCGTTAGTCAAGGTATTGTTGACGAATTTTAAAATATTACAAGAAAAGTTTTTTTTTTTATTTAGAAACTATATTTTTCAACTGAAAAATTTTTCAAGAATAATTATCACTATTGTTTTTGGGTCTGGCAGAGGAAAAAATAAAATCGGAGCCAAAATGCAAAAGGAGCTGGGGACATAAATTTTCAAATCGGAGTCAAACGACAGCCCTGCGAAGACCATTAAGTTATAGTTGATTTTGCTCAACGAAATTATGAACTTGTGTGTAGCAATACTGCTGGAACTTTAAAATTAATTATTTTTTAGAATGTGAAATACCTATTTATATTTAAACTTTTTGACTCTTATTTGTGAACCAATAAAATGGGAAAATATAAAAATATAAGGTCCTTTCCTTATGAATTTTAACTTTATGAAAAAGATGAAAAAATAACTCAATTAAATTTTAACTAATAATATGCACCGAAGTTTACTTTTTGACAACTTTAAAATATATTATGTAAAAATAACTAAAATTAACTTGTCAAAAAATTAAATAATGTTTGTAGAAAAAAAAACAAGTTCTCAAGGCAAAGATAACTGAGTTAAAATTTAATACGGTCTGATGAGAAGACCCATAATGTTGATATTGAAACTTAAATGACATGTTTTTCTTTTCTGTATCAGCTCGGAAAAATTAATATTGGAATTGTAAGCCATAACGTAAGAATATGTAGTCCGTAAACTTATGAAAGAGATTTCTATTTACTACGGACTCGGTCGTACGTTCAGATTTGATGATATGTAAGGTAACCCTTTCGGCAATTCCTAATAACTACGAATGAGATTTATAATGATAAAATAAACGTGAAAATTTTAGAAAGAATATTGTACATACATAATACATTTTACTTAACAGCATTATAACTTTCATTAAATAAATTAAACATCATTCAAATTGTGAACGCACAGGAATTCGGTTCAATTTAATTTAAGTAACACATTTGTCATTTACCTATTGTGAATTGAATTTTATAAATAAAGTCAAAATTCATCAAAATGGCAAGTAAAAGTTAAATTTCGATTATGTTTCAGCCCTGCGTGTTGAACTAAATTTTATTTTAAAAAATTCTGATATGCATATGATATAGGATATAGCATCGGCAATCGATTTGTCAAAACGAAAGAAAAACTTAAAGATAATTCGCAGTCGTGAATTTTTTTGTATTTTAATTTGATCTCTAATATATTATTGGAAAAAATATTTTAAATCAAAAACGGAAAGAAAACAGGAAAACTTAAAATAATATTTTAAAAGATTTAATGCCTAAAAATATTTAAATTTGTGTGTTAAAATTATGTGAAATTTTTTTTTTTGGAAATTTCGAATTCGTGTACATTTAAAGCAATTTGGTTGCACGTATATGGACGTAGCTAAATACAATATATATATCCATATGTATGTATATCCATATATACATGTATTAATGAATGATGAAATAAAGAATTTTGCAAAATTTCCTTTATTTTGAAAAATTATTGATTGTGTGGCTTCGCGGTTAAGCAAGTTGTATATGTTCTATATATATATTTTAATTAGATTCATCGAAAATGAAAAGTTTGATGAAATAATAATTTTAAAATTTTCTGCTAAATAACAATAAATTGGTTTAGCTATCTTCAAAAATTAAAAAAAAAATTGAAATTTATATATATATATATATGTTCATATAAGTAATATGTATGTATGTATATATGTATGAATATAAAGCTTGAAATAAAAAAAAAGTGATTTAGTTAAAAAAGTCAAAATTTAGCCAGTGTTTGTGCTTTTTTTACTTCATTTTTATTATTTTTTTTTATATTTGCATTTTTGAATCAAGACAACACAATCATAATAAGTGACCGCCCTATGTGTGCGAAAAAAAAATTAATGTAGAAGAAATCATCTATACTTACATATATATGTATGTATGTATGTATTCACACGTAAATCTATACCTTTTAAATTTACATAAGTAATTTTTTTTTTCAGAACAAAATTCAAGTTTTTCCTTGTGTGTCTCTCTGCCTTATTTTCAATGTAAAACATTTCAAGGTTTTTCAGTCGATTTTACCTTGATAAAAATTCAGTGTTACAAATTTCTACTTACAATTTCTGAACAAGAGGAAGAAAAAAAAGGAATGTATACTTACATATAAATATGTAGGTACCTCAATGTATTCATACGTATTTTACTCATTTGTTTGAAGTTTAAGATTTCAGTGTTTCAAAAAAAAAAAACATTTTTAAAATCAAAAATCTAACTTGGAATGAATAACAAATTTTCAGAATCACAGATAATTATTTAGAATTATATATATGGAATTCTCATTTTAAGGTAAATTTTTGTTATATTAAAAATAAAAATAAAATGGAGATTTGGCTATGTTTTTTTTTGGTTTAAATTATAAATTTTCAGATTTTTATGTTGAAATATCTAAGTAAATCCTTCTTAAGTAGATAGGTATAGCTAATTTCTAATATTAAACTAACTACTAATTTATAATATTTTTATACCGATCAATATTTTTTGTTTATTGTTAGTTGAACATAAAATTTATTTGAAAAATTTTAGGAAAACTATATGTCTTACATCCTCTACATTATTTCCTACTTTTGGATATTTTTAACATTGAACTATTATCCCACTCACAAAAGTTTGTGGTGGTATATAATATAATTAGACTTCCATCTCTATTGGAATGGAAGTCTAATATTATTAGCTTAAACCAAATTTAAAGTGAAAACTTTCTCACGAAAACCATATGAAAAACTTTCAGTTGATGAATAATTTTTTCAAAATCGCAAGTATAAAAACCACGGCTGACAGAAATAGATCCTAAAATGGCTCTTTTAAACATCATAAATCTTCCACAAGGTCACCTTTTTCAAATTTTCAATGAGAAAAAGTTAAAATTCAACTTTTTTCTACTTTACTAGTGTTTAGAATTTGTGTAAATTCGTCAGCTGTGAACTGTCACTCTCTTTCAGGGTTCAGGTTTGTATTTCTGTGTGCCATGGTAGGTACGTAGGTTGGTAGATAGGTACTCACCATAAAATAGAAAAACATGTATTTGAAAAATTATGCATAGACTTTGTAAATATATCGTAGGTAATCAGGTGTATGACAGTTCCACAGATTTTACAAAATTGGAAAAGTATTGTGTTTAAGTTTTTATTTATTATTAACTATGTGATTAATCATGTTATTCAAATCAGATGAACCCTGCATTAGGTATTTGCCTTATCTTCATTTTATAATTACTAAAATCGGGGTAATTATGTAGGTATCTGCTTATCTTGATATGTTAAATTCTCTGTCACGTCTTTTTTCTCAACAATCGTTTAAACATTTTTTGAAAAACTGAAATGACAAGAAATAAAAGTTATTTAATTCTTTTTTAAGTAAAGAGCATTTTTGCTTGGCTAATTTTAAGCCAAATTAATACATTTAGCTTTGATTGCTGCAAAAAAATCTTATGTTACAGTGTAACTTAGCTCATTGTGGAAAGTTAGATTATTAAATTGTAAATGTCTCAAAAGAAAAACTTTTACTTATCCGATACAGAAGAAAAACTTTTACTTATCCGATACAGAAGAAAAACTTTTACTTATCCGATACAGCCTCAAAATTTTATATTGGAAAAATTTGATTTATTTGTTATTTTTTTCTTATTTTGGCTTTTCATTACTTATAAATTTTCAGTCACTTTATTTTTTTTTCAAAAGTTCATAAATGTAAATAAAATAGGTAATGTACGTAACATAATGTAAATTTGGTAATGAATGCGACATTAGTTTAACGTGCATAATTTGGTCCTATTGCGGTTTTTTTTATAATTACTTGTAAAATCTATATAGAGGTATAAATCAAAATATACCTTCAGGTATGTTGTTAGTATTTAAGTTTTCATTTGTGCCCGTCATTTTACTTTACTTGCCTTTTTGTCCCCCTCTACTTAGCCTACATTATCCTCCCTTTTTCCTCCCTTCCCTATGAATGATGACGCTGTTTCTTGGTAACCGATAGTTGCTTAGTTGCGACTAAATGATTTTTTTTATATGCGCCTTTTGGCAATGGTTCTTAATACTTGATCTATGCATTTGATGTCTGATATTAAAAATAAAATTCAGATTACTGGTTTTGGTTTTTTTTTCTGATTTTGTACCTTTTTTTTCATTTTTTTTATTAATTTATTTAAAATAATTAAAAATGTTTTGAACCGTATTGGGGACACTTATTTTACGACACGTAAAATTATTTTAATATTTATCTAAACTACTTAAAATTTTGAAAGATATTTTAAGAAATATAATTAAAAAAATAGGGCCGTTTTAGCTACACACATCTGAAGAAATTGTCGACTTTGTACTGTAATTCACATGGTTACCAAGTATTGTTTACATGAGATGTATTTTTTTTTATTTTCCTTATAAGAAAAAATACAATTAGGTAAGGTGGCTAACGTTTTCAAATAGAAAATGCAAGATTACCGGAAAGAAAATATAAATTACTTGATTTGTGTATACATCTAATGCACTTTTCAACTTGATCTTTCAACATTATTTGACAAAATGATAAGTTTTCAGTATTCAAAAGAATAAAAAGTGAGTTTTTGAATAAGTAGCTCTCAATTTTTACCGACTGCATTGTATACAATAATAGGTTATGTGATGGCAACAAATTTTGCATAACGAGTTTTCAATGGGAACGCACTTCTTCATGGTAGAAGAAGACACGGATTGATCAACTTTTAAAATATGTCACGCCTTCTAGATTTTTGCCCATATAAAGATAAATAATCAACCGATTTCCTTGAAATTTAATATTTAGAGTTGGAGTGATAAAATAATGAACATATAAATTTTTTGGAACGAGCAGGGCTCGGAAATCGATCTAGGGGCCACCTAGTTCGGTTAATTTCAAGAAGTTTCCGGCAAAATTATATGGGTGGGCAGGGGGGAAAGGGTTCGGCTAATATTATAAAATTTAAACACAAGTTCTATCTAAATTTTATTTCTATTATCTGCGATATATTTTAGAAATTTAAGTTTTTGTGTCTAACATTGCTTTTTAAAATCGATCTTTTCACGTTCCCGTTATAGGTTCCAAGCAGCGCTACCAAAAGCTAAGACTAATCTTCTAAGTGAAGGTTTCTTGGCCATACTTTTTGTGAAAAACTTTTTTTTATATTTTTTTATATAGAAATTTTTTATAATGCTACTATAATTATAATCATTAGTTTTTCTTTTTAGTGTCTGACTTGGCTCGAATTGAAATCGTGATAATCTCTAAGCAGGAGAATATGAAACTCTAGAATGCAAACTGTATTTCTGATCAATAATTTTAACAAAGCTAATTAATATCATAGTTTTATAGTATAAAATCTGATGTGGCAGCACATAACCAGCTGCATTGTGTATTGTTTAGTTAACTGAAAGTGTTACAGAAAGAATATTATAACAATGCCTTAAATATGTACTTCTTTCCAATTTTTATGGCGTTAGTAAGCTTTTACATAACATATTTACCGAGAAAAATGCAAATTTGGCTCTTAGTAGGGTTTCGGCTTGTTTTATCCGAATTCTCTGAAATACTCAATTTCAGGAAATTTCAGGAAATTCCATCAGCCAATTCCGTAGATATGTAAAATTGGCCCAGCTCGATTTTCGAGCCCTAATCTTTAGAAAAAATTTATAAGTAGGTTCATTGCTTTAACATCCCGAATTTAAGTTTTAAATTTCAAGGAAATTGGTTGATGATTTCTTTTTATATACGCAAATATGTAAAATCGGCCGTAAAAGGCCCAGCTCCCGAAAGTCTGGTATATCCCAAAAGTAGATCAATCCGTTCAATAGCCAAAATAAACTCATTCAATTTCATCAAAATAGGTTCAGCCGAAACTGAGATACACATAACTGCCTTATTATATGCAATGTGATCGGTTATAAAGTTTTCCAAAGATTCATACAATAACTTTTATTTTTATGTGTTAAAAATATACATCTATGCATCTATTTCTGATTCTTTCTAAGTACCTTTCAATTTCTTTTTATCTAATCATATACGTGATATAATGATATTTTTGTTCTGAAAATTATATAAAGCAAAAGAATATTTTGCTTAGAGTCGAATGTGTTTATTGAAAGTAATGTTAAATAAAGTTTTTTTTTAATTTTTTTTAACAAAAGCTTCATATGAATAAAAATATAAAAGAAATTTATTTCCGTAGAAAAAATTTTTATCTATCTTTGCCTCTCTAAAACTATATTCCTTCAAAGCCCTAAAAATGGCATTTTTTACGTAATGATTGTAGCAAAACCTGAAACAGTTTTTAAATAAGGCAAACGCAGAAAAGTAGTGGCTGATTTCTTCAACCGTGCAATACAATTTTTGAGTTTTACAAAAATAAAATGGCCATTAACATATACTTTTATCTAAAATCCGTCTTTTCCAAATTTGGAATATTGTTTTTCTTTGAGACCTCAGGTGATCTGAAATTTTAGTAGATCTTAGATAGTAATAAATATATTTCGAAAATTGGAAGAAAATTTTTTTTGCACCATCACCCGCTCTCGAGTTATCGCCTCTCGAAATTCTTAAAATTTGAATTTTTTCACTTTATATTTCCGCAACTCCGAGTTTTTCCAAAATTCTATAAGTGGAACATTCTAACGGTAATTTCCATACCATTAAATAATATAATTATTTTTCTTAATTCACGCAACTAACCCTTAAATGCGAGCATTATCCTAACGCCTCTTTAAATATTTTTTTGTTTTATCTCAAAGAATAATATAGCATACGATATATTCGTATATGAATGAAAGTAGTTTTAATAATGTAGCACTTACATAGATTTTTTTTAAAAGTAGTATTTTCACTTGTTGAAAAGAAAAGTGCTAAATTACATTGGCTTCAACAAACTTTATTTACTTCTTAGTTTCCACTTCCTGTTAATATTGCCAAATTGGAGGTATATTATCTTCGGCATAGGAAAGCATAATATTATTTAAAATTTATAGGTAATGATATTGAATCATCTTTCTTTTATCCAAAATGTAGGACCTACACCATATCAAAAAAAACAAGACGAAATTTTTTTTAGGTGTATGAAAAGAAAACTCCCTTTTATTCGAAATAAAATACTTTTTATTTTTGACAATATATTTCGTGCGCTACATACGCAGTTTATCAAAGCTGATTTTCTTCCTGAAAGAAGAAAATCAGCTTTGACAAAAAAAATTTATAGTTCGGAAAAATTATCAACCATAGAAGAATTTTTTGAACACGAAATTATATTGTCGCCATATTGTTTTACGATGTCTTGTATAGGA